TTCCGAGCTCCCTGGCATCAAGTCTTGCCCAGGTGGGAAATGTTGTGGTTAGGGGTTTTAAGCGCCGAGCCGTTCTGGAATGGCCAGAGCCGGTCGATCCCCTTGGTTGCTTCTGCCTTCCCTGCCGGTCTCACTCTGAGGTTTGAATTTCCTTAATCCTGTCAAATGGTTGCTTGACTCCATGTGAATTGCTGAACTGATGAGTAAGATGGCAGATTTTTCAGTCTTAAAAAGATGCTTTTCAAACAAGAAAAAAAAATAGAAGGGCTGGTGGGTTTTTCATCTAAAAAAAGCCACTTTTTTTTAAGCGTCATGCTCTGTGCTCTTTTAGATGCAATTGAAGCAACACCTGTAGTTGGCAGAATTTTTTATTTAGGATGCTCTTAACACAGTCTGGCTGTTTTTTCTCAGGGAAGGGGGAAAATGCAGGGCCAAAGAGGAAGGATTCAGATGCCGTCATTTTTTAAAAAACGATGTGATTTCAAAATGGGCAGCATAATTCAGCAGAAGTTAATTAGGGCTCTAATTGTTTCAGAAGGCAACGTAGAGAGGGCTAATTCTCACGGACTGAGATGGAGTCAGCAGCAATTCATCTTGGTGAATTTTGCCTATGACCATGCAACCAGAGCTAGGCGCGCGCATGAAGGTGCTTCAGTCAGTTGGGAACTTGAGTTATATGGGGACACCACGTTCCCAGCAGTGGAACTAACATTTTAGCAACCCATTAGCACTGATTAAATGTTTCTTCCCACGATATATTCCAGGTTTGGTTAAACCTTCCCGGTCATTTAAATCAGGCCATCAAATCTGGAAAATTTCATCTGAAGGTGCTGAAAATTTGGGTGTCCCTGATATTTATTGAAAGCTGCATTGTTATGAGGCGTGACACGTTGGTCCCAGCGCCTGTGGTTTCTTGATTTTTTGTTTCCTCCCCCTTCTTTTGGGGTCATTTTGCTTAAACAATTTTTAGTGCACAGACTAGAAAACTGGAGAGGTTTTTATAATAATCATGATTTCCAGAGGGCAGTGGGATGCTAGAAAAATGAGTGTAAATTTCAGTTGTTTAGTGCTTTGACCATAGCCAGATTTCATTCTCATTTGTCAGAAAAAGTTGACACGTACCAGAGAATGTTTGATGTACAATCTTTTATCGTACCTACTGAGAAATTTGAAGAATATCCAGATACCTTGACTTACCTGTGTTATCCCTTTTCCATCATTTATTAATAAAAAGTGATAATTCTTTGATCAAAAGCTAACAATGTTCAGAATTGTGTAAACGTTCATTTAAAATGTGGATAATTAGATGAATTTTAGCCAAAACTGCACAGTAATTTCTAACATTACATGCTGGCTTCATGGCATTACTGGAGAATCATAAATGAATGTCAGCGTTAATTGAATTTCTGTCATTTTTTAGAATGGTGCTTTCTTGCAAGATTCTGCTGCTCTTCCAGTAGGCAGAAAACAGTGACAAAATATTTCTGGCAAAAGGTGTGCTACAAAAGATATTCAGATGGAAGATCTTCAAGTTGGTGATTGTGGTTCCTACAGTTGCTTCTGTCTTGGCTTCCCAAAGGTCTTCTGAGGCCCATGAGTGTAGGGTGAGCCTCTTGGCCAAACTCTTTTCTTACTTGAGAATTGCAGCATTAGTACTACCTGTTTCTTTCTTCCAAATGGAGGTTATGGTTTTGACTAACGGAACATGTATTGAGCGTGGAACTATAAACTTCTGTAAATAGAAAGTTTCCAACAAGGTTCAGAGAAGTTCAGACTTAATTTAATGTTTGTGTTGACTGCAGGTTTTAGATGCCAGTTTGGGGAGAGGGGGGCACAGAAGGGAAGAGAACGGATGCCCTGAAACTCAGTGATATTAATGAAAGCCTTGTCTGTTTCTCCAGAAGGAACTGTGCTTTTAATTCCAGCGGATGCTTGGAACTTTGGGGGCCTTGTCCCACGCTCGGTGCTCGGGGGGGTGGTCGAAAAAGCCGGTGGCCGCAATGGGACGACCGCAGCTCCAGCATCTCGACCCTGCGCTGTGGACACCCCAGCTCTGGGTCTTGGAGGAGAGACAATGGGCCCATGTGTGTCTTTCTCTCACGTGTGGCACCGGCTGCTCTCTGCTGGATGGCCTTTGGCTTCTCCGCAGCCCCGGCTCCTTCCTCCCGCCCCGCGCTTGACAGT